CTATGAAGATGACATGATATGGTGATGATAGGCGGTGAAAGGACGAACACAAATACAAACATATCCTAGGCGGGACTCCAACCCGCGATCCTTCAGTTGGACACTACTGTCTTAACGATCTCGGCCAACCGGACGACTATCGATGTTTTAATTATGATGAAACATTTTGAAGTAAAATGTCCCGGTTCTAATATGATACATAACTTGTCAATATTAGGTTAAAGTAAATTCTATCTTAAATGTGACTGAATTTTATAATAAATGTTCTAGGTAGTCAAGGTTCAAATTGCAGTTTAACGGTTTACCACGCTCAAAATCACATCATAAAATCACAGATAACAGCATCGGAAAAAGCTTGTAAGTAGCAAACGGTTTCATGCCACCTGGCGATCGACAACAGCGTCAGTTGTCAATGATTGTTAATTACGAGCAATCCACAAATAGAATAGATACCGGAAATTTTATTTATATCATGAGAATTGTTTTATTTTAAACATCGATGTTTATGGACAAATATATCGATAGGAAGAAAACTTTGAAAGCAAAACATCGACGTTATAATATTGATGTTTCTGCTCTAAAACCTGCATGTTTTAAAAACACCGATTGTTTTGCCGCCTCTAGTCCTGCCACGCCCCCTTCCCGTAGACATGAAGGGCATTTCCGCCCTCGGAACGGGGGTGGCAACCCTTTGTGTAGGTGCGATCACTCAATCGCTACTTGCCAGTTCTTCATTTTCCATTTCCGTTCTCTGAAGGGTGCAAACTGGGGAAAGTCCCTTGGAAGTAGTACAAGGGTGGGGGAGGAAAGTAAGCAGGAAGCGAAATGCCATTCTGGTTGCTGAATCATAATGTATTCAGGTCAGAGTTTGGTGGAAGGAGGCATGTTCTTTTCTTGAAAGCAACGTTTCTATTGCAATGCTCTGAGTTAAAATTACAACAGCAACAAAAGATGCAAAAATACCGCATCCGTTGATCACAGGTATGGTTAATCATAATTCGTTTCGACGTGGAGAGATGTGACTTGTTTGTATCTTCTCTGCAGGTTGATACACGAGTATCCCCATTTGGTAGTTTCATACTTCAAATTATAATTTAAAACTATGACGTAATCTGACATATCTCATCGACAATCTTCAACTGCTGTGCAAGACAACAAGCCCAGTGATTCGATGTCATCTTTTCATGGATGTAAAATCGGTCTTAAGAATAAATTTAAAATAAACGTGTTAATCGTGAAATTGTAAAATTAGTGAACACTTCCTGCCAATGAATTCCTAAATGGATGCTTATCACGTTATCTGATGTATATTTTCAATCGCAACTACATTTTATGACAGGAAATTATCCTACGTCAATGTGGTTTTGAAAGCCATAGCAACACAATAGCTTGTCGTAGAAGATCTGAGTTATCTCTCTCAGAATCATCGACTTTATCTACCTTCATTCTGTTTTAACAGAGATGGCCCAGATAATGTGTAAATACTGACTTCGCATTTTGTTTAAGAAGGCGTTTTGGCTCATGTCATTGACCGCAAATCGTTACATGGCTCCCGTCAATGTCCTTTCTGATAAGTTAATGGGCACGTCTTTTAAATATGGTGCACATCATTTTTACCATATTGAAAGTAAATATGAAATAAATTTGAAATTGACATAGGTTATTAGCGTAATAATTTATTTTATCAAATATTTCATTTATTTTCATTATCGGTTCACGCGTTACTTCAAGTACTGCTTCTTTATAATTTTGATATTTATTTTTTAAATTTATTCATTCTTTTGTTCATTTGTAATTGTGCTACTTTAATTATATTTGTCTTTTATGAAAATCGTAGTTAAAATAGTTCTCTTATTTTTTATTGAATTTTGTTTAACAATGACAATACAACGTTCAAACGTGAGTTCAACCTGCAAAGTGTGAAAAGGGTAACATGTCGCCTTCCTGACAGTAATTTCCTAAGCTGAAAGGTCAACAACTGTTAATCATAATTCTGGATAATCATTAGAGGGGAGATGATAAAGATATAGTAGGTGAGTCAGGCAAGTATATGGAATAGTCTATCCTTATCTAATGTCCAAACGATATTGCAGAAAAAATGTGAAATGGAAACCTGTTTCTTAGGAGGGAGAGGTGATTATATATATATATATATATATATATATATATATATATATATATATATATATGGATAATTAATGGTTATCTTATGTATATTTTCAATCGCAGCTACACTTTAATGTTTTGGACGCATTTCATTTTTTCTAGCAGATTTATTCTTATATTCAATGTTTGGAAAGATAAAATGGTTAAACCCTCGAAATATTTTTCATCGCAAAGCAAAATGACTCATAAAAGCATGTATTTGGGGATTGTTTCATTGAAATATGAGGTACGCAAGTAAGTAAAACACGTAAATGTCATCAAGTAATAAAATAAAAAAATAAACCATAACACATCTTCTTAGTGTTTGGAATAAAAACATCTGGCATCCTAACAATTTCAGGAGTAGTGGAGAGACACTACCATAACATTATAATGGAAATAGAAGGGACAAAAACTTGTTGTACCTGCAAAATATGATCATTATTATTGATTTACAGGGAAATTTTAATCTATTGTGTATCTATTGTTGCCGTATGGAATAATTCTATATTGCTAACATACCCATGGATGTGTACGGTATATCTTGTTTTATTAGTACGATTTAATGTTATGTTTATCTTATGATCATCATTGTCAGAAGAAGAAGGAGAAGAACACGCACTATCGTTAAACCATGAATTAAATTCAACACAAACGTCTTCGGACACCTCGTCAGTGCAAGTACGTGATGGCTGGAGAGCAGGTAGATGAGCCAGAAAAAAATAATTACGTTACGCTCATTAGAATAATTAACTAGAAATGGTTTCCCAGGCTCTTAGAGTACCCTATGCCTATGCGTAGTAATTTCATGGCATTAGTTCACTTCTATTTCTAATATAAAGAAGCAACTACTAAAGGTATCTAATGTGCAATTTTCGTAAATTTAAATCTTACATCCATTGACAATATACTGACTGTGCAGGCAGTATAATGGTGTCATCAATTCAAGCCCAATAGTCAATGTTGTCCAGGCTGTATAATGGTGTCATTAATTCAAGAATAATAGCCAAACGTCGTGTGAAACAATTTGGGAGGCGAGTCATACATACGAAATTGGTTCCCAAATTGAGTCTAACCTCCAGTTAAACATTAACAGTGGCTTGGCTTTGCGATGTAAAATACATATTTCTTCAAAATTTACGATGAGTATATCGCGGTTGTTAATCTCTATTTAGAAAAACTTCAACTTGTTTCGTGTGATTTAGAAAAATTATGAATTTCATGTTTGCTATTCCTCTTACTTCAGTATTCCTGAACCTCTGTGGTTACTGGGTGACGTCTATTCAGGATATCCTGAGAGACAAGGAAAGAGTTCTATACATGCTTCCGTCATGAAAAAATTTAGTTGCGTAATATTTCCTTCATAAGGAAGGTGCAGATGAGCGCACTACTGCTAATGCAGAGTTTTTTTGTTAAAATGGCTCAACTTTATATTATATTATATTATATTATATTATATTATATTATATTATATTACATTATATTATATTATATTATATTATATTATATTATATTATATTATATTATATTATATTATATTATATTTGCCTTTCGACTATATACACACATATATTACATACCTACTGTAATGGACCACACAGGCGCAATTATTCGTGTAATTCGCCGCTGTCACACTATCATAGAGGGGGGGGTTGCCAACACACTTACGGTGCAATGGTCGTCAGGATGCATGCGCTGAAATAATTTAGGAGGGTGCCAAGCGTATGACTTACGTGTGATCTGGGCACCGGCATTTGGACATCATCAGAGGTGGGCATTCTGGGTCGAAGGATTGCATTAGCTTACTGTTTATAAATAATACACTTTTTTCTGTGATCACCCGACCAAAATGACGGGGATACGTTCATTGCTATATAAAATTGTCTCTTTTACATTACTGTTCCTTCTAGTGCTTTACTCTGGTTATTAACTAAAATGGGTGTGAACACTTACAGAAAGAGGTGATGACTGCAATTCTGCTATCTCACTCCGAAAGGATTACATGTCCTAATATCAGCCGGCGGCAGCAGAAGACCCGTTGAAGTACCACGGATGTCTCCTGTAGTCGGCAGGAACACGCCTGGCTGAGGTGGAGATCGTCCATGGCCGTCCGCGGAACTGAAGCGTCAGTTTTTTGAGGCGCGGGTCTCAGGTCGTCATACGTTGCCTGGACCGCGTATTGTCATTGGCAGCCGAATAACTCTGCTACACACCCTCTCGTGTAATTTGTGGGTGTTACTCCTACAGTTCTAGCCCGGCATCCGAAATAAATTCTGATGCTGGAATAATGGCTGGTAGGACCTGGAGAGAAGCGATCGTTTTCGAATAATCATAATAACAATAGTATCTGACTAACAATACTCGTAAACTAATATAAAAACTGATTGATTCGTAAAACATTTAATTACCTTGTCTACTTAGTACTACTTCCCATTCAGAATATTTTTCTGTGAAAAATTGCATATAAGAAGTGATAAGTTAATTGAATCGTGGAAAAAATAAGACGTAAGAATTTTGTCATTAAAATTAAGTATTTCTCCAGGTTCTTTGGAATTTTTTAGTCAGCTGCATAAAAAACTTGAGAAAAGATTCCGATAATTAGAGATCTTTGATTATTACACTCGAAGATTGCAAGTTAAAAGTGTATAATTTAACCCAAAAAGGGCATTACAACTTCTTAGAGATATTCGGGAATCATCATATTCGAGAAAAAAAGAATTATTCTCCTTCTAAAAAAGATTCCCCTTAGCCGAACTTCCCAAAAAGATTTCCCTTGTCTACTATTTGTCTTAAAAGTAACATACTTTGGTGTAGTACATCACAATTATTTGTCTAGTATTTCGAGAGAAAAGTACACTATATATAGTGTACTCTCTTCACCCTTCACCATCATATTCAAGCCCTTTTCAAACTGCACTGGTCTGATGGTCTTGTCAGATGGAAGGGAATTCAAATTAGTCAGGAGGTATATCAAGGCAAGTTTAATTTCCAAGCGAGCCAAATTTTGGCCTGAAAATGTAAATAATTAATTTCAATGTTAATTATTCTACGTGATAAATCAGTACTACCCTAAATTCTGCTAGTCTGCTGTCTATGAAAATTGCAACACCCAGAAGGAATCGTCACAATCACTCAATAATCGAGAGTTGTGTAAAGCAGTATGTCCGCAAGAAGTGATTAAATTTGCGTTGAGATGGCGTGCACCGTGGCCTAGCAGCGCCCTCTGTGTGACAGGTCAGGTCAGTATTAAAACAGTGTTCAAACAGTGTTCAAACAGTGTTCAAACAGTTATGTTTAAAAACAGTCTCGGCTCCAGGTATTGAACGTAAAACAGTATGGGGTTCGATATGAAAATTTGAATCGTGGTTATGATAGTGATATCCGATGGTGAAATCCGAAAAAGTGTTTTTCATGTTGTTTGTGTATATAGATGTGTCACTAATAACTTGGACCAATGAAAATATTAACTTGGTACTCACATCAGGAATAAGGTGCTGTTGCAAATATCTTTAAGAAACTTTCGTCTTTTATTTACATTTCATTCCTAGTATTTGCTTACAAGATAATACCCAAGAAAAGGGTAAAAGAGTTGAATTGCCAAAATATGCTTTAAATAGTTTTAATAAATAATCAACGAGATTCCTACTCAAATGCTAGAACTTGGTTCAAATATAGATGTGAAGAGTAGTTACGAGAATACGAAAGTTAGAATTTATCAAGTATCAACATTGGAAAGAAACAAATTAACATCTGTTGATGGACGTAAAATCTAGAACCATTGATGAAAGAAAATAAAATGTATGAAATATGGCTGTCAATCCATAATGCTCATGTCTTCCGCCACAATGCTCTGGTCGGAACTGCTCGTATGAAACAAGTCCACTTTGTCAAAACCAAGTATGTAAAGCAATGGACCAATATTGAAACCGTGTGTGTGATGGAATATGTAGAAATACAGGAAGCTCACGATCAATAAAAGCCTGGAAAACTATTATAAAATTAATTCCAATTCGGGAAGGAAAGAGAGTTCTGACTCAGATTAGTCTCATTAGTCTCACCTTTCCACACACGAAAGAAACACTATTGTACGTTGCTCACAGAAGACCGATCTGAATTTTGGGGCGTTAGTTATAGACATGTAGGATCTCATTCTCTGTTATCTCTCAGAGAATGCAACATTGGATAGAAGTTAGTCATGAAACGGAACTACTCGTGATCCTGGATGTTTCCCTATCGAGCTATTAATATATGCGAAAAGTGTGTAACAAATGGTGTACCTTAAGAAGGGACAATGCATGGATTACTTCCTTCCAAAGAAAGGAAATAACAATTGTTCAAACAATCGAGTAATAGTTATTGTAGTGAGGCTTATGGTCGAATTTTGACCCGAAGACTGGATCGATTTTCCACCAGATGAACTATAGGTAATTACCCAGGAAACTCTGACGAGTTCCTCATGCAGACGGGGAGGGATGAAGCAAAACGAAAAGGAAGCCCCGACCTAATATAAAAAAAGAACAATCTAGTTCGAAATCGTTTTTGTCATATTGTAGTACTATTAATTTCTTCGAAATGGACGTGTCACCAGTATTGCAAGATGATGTGTTTTCTCTTTTCCTAGTAAACGTCCAAGTCGATGCATCTCCAGAACTGCCTCGCCCGACAAGTGTTTGTCCATGGTGAAGTTGTCTGTGGCCTAGCTGTTTCCTTGTTCTCTGAGTTTTAGGAACGGGCAGAATTTCTGCAAAAGACGGATTCTATTAGATACGCTATCAGCTCCGGTGATTGTGAGACCACGGGATGTAATCTACTCCACAACTCTTGATTTACGTCACATATTTACTTCTCCACACAGCGGATGAACAAGTGTCTGTGGAAGAGGATGTATTCTGACCGCAAACGTAAACAGAATTGTGAAACAGGATTTAGTGATACAGCAAGAAATGTTTAAGCTGTTTGAATTACAATATTCTATTACAATATTACATAATTCCAGTTATTTAAATTAAACTGAGATTCAGCCAATTTGGTTACGCTGATATTATGAGGATTGGTAAAGGCTCAGGAAAGATAATATTCAGAAAATGGTAGAAATTGTAAGACTTTCTTAAACAATAAACTGGTAGTTAAATGATTTAGGTATGTTGGTGACCTGTTTCTATATATTAATGTTTTTTTAAAAAAGTGTATCCTCTCCGAAGGTTTTCACGAATAAGTAAGACCGGTCAAGGAAAAACATCGGTAAGTTTTGAGGTAGCATTATGAATCACAATATGCATTTTAACTACATAATATTAAATGCCATCCTCAGTACATTTAGACTGCATCACAGATAAATAATTCATCACAATACATTGTAAAAACTGAAAGGAATATCGTCAGGCTCAAGCCTATTTCAATCCAGAAATCTCATGGATGTGAACCGGAAAACGGGATCCGGTGCAAATATAAATGTGCAGCGTGTGCTTTATTTTTATTGCGAATGATTTGTGTAACATGGTACAATTATGTAATGTCCAAATTTCATTTAAGTTTCATCGCTGTTAACCCGTCTTGACAATAGCTGGTTTACGAAAAGCTACTTCTCGTTAATCACAAGAGAGAAAATGGGTAATAATAAATTTCAGCAATCGAAATGCCCTAAAACAAGACCCAAGCCAAGCACAATAAAAAAAAATTAAAATATATTTATAACGTGTGAAATAGTACGAAAATGAGATACAAGTCTTAAAAAGTACTAAGATGATTTAGGTACCAATTATGAATCATTAAAATATTGTGATTCTATAATCTATACATCTTTGTGACATAGAGTTGGCCTTCAGTGTTTATAAAGTGTTTAATTTAGAGTGTATCTTGTCTACAAATCCGATAATACATTGATATGGCTGTGAATGTGGGTTATCTCGATTTCGCAACATAAGGCAAAAGACTGAAAAAAATATTTTATGTATAGTCTATACGCGCGTTATAAACTGGACAAACATTGGATTGCACAAGTCACGTAATTGCCAACGCAACCAAAGCGCACACTGCATATTTCTTTTTACGCGAGATACCGTTTTCCCGCCCACATCCACGGGATTTCCAATGACAACCGGTTTGCGCAGATGTGTGTGTGGTATAGTGTGAGGGTCGGGACGGGCGTTTACTCCTTTGCTCGTGCAGTGGCCACTCACCAATGCAGAGTCGCGGGCCCGCGCCGAAGGGCATGTAGGTGAAGGGCTTGTTGCGGTGATTGTTCTCGTCGCTGAAGCGCTCGGGTTCGGCGACATCGGGGTGCAGCCAGTGCGCAGGGTCGCGGTGGAGGGCAAGCACGGGCAAAATCACCACGTCACCCTTGCGCATGCTCATGGGACACCTAGCGGTGGTGGCCGGTAACGTGGCATCGCACGTTCACGCGCGGTCCGTTGCGCTCAGGGCCGGGCAACTGACCCAGCGTCTCTGCGAACATCCATCACGCTCATTCATTCGGGTGCAGCAAGCCCTCTCACATTCACCACATCCATTCACACACATTAAGCCCACTCAAAACACTACTCTCACTCATTTATGCACATCTCGTCCGCAAAAACACACCACGCCCGCTCGAAGAAGCGACGCCCACTCACACAATCCACGCCGTCACACAACCCACGCCCAGCCGGACAATACACGCTCAGTCGCACAGGCCACGCCCAGTCGCACAAGCTTCGCACACCACACACACACACACACACACACACAAATCTCCCCTATTAACCCACCGTGCCCACCCACACACGTCAGCCATTCACAAACATGTCGATTATTATCATCATCACAGACACTCGTTCATACACACCACGGCCACCTAGTCGTACTCACCACGTCCACAAAGATAAGCCATGCGCCCTGGCACGCCACGACTCACACGTCTCACCCATTGGCACACATTACGGCTTTTCGCACACACCACACCCCTTTACGCACACCACGCCATTCTTGTTCGCAAACAACTCGCTCATTTCACTCGTACACATACAGATACGCCCATTTCTCCACGCACTCATAGCTCGCAAACTTCACACTCTCTCTCACTCCATACCCTCTCACTCGCACATACCACGACCAACTAATAGACACCATTCCAGTGTACTGTGCTCTTCTAGAATACACTACTGGCTAATAGTAAAAAAGCGAAAACATGAAAAAAATACATAAGACTACACAATGAAACAATTTAATTAAAAATGCACTTACCATTGTATCCAAGTACCACTTCGATGCCTTGCCTCGTAAGTAAGATCACCGTCCGTTTTCTCCATCGCGTCGTCAATTTCCTTTTGTAGTCGCTCCTGGTACCACATATGACTTGAGATGGTCAGTGAAGAAAAGCACAGCGCTGTTGACACGGTTTCAAAGGAATCAGTCATATTATTTGCTGCAGCATAGTGCTGAGTACCGGCCTTTTAATCTTTTTTTGTTGAGGAAAACTGATTCCCTTGACCTGCTGTATCCTTTTTCCCGCAACATCTATTAGTTGCAAGACTTGCGCACTGACTTCCCTTGGCAGCGTCGATCTCCTCCCTCTCTCGTGCGCTTCTTGGGCGTCCTCCTGCAGCTGCCCCCTCGCGTGCTTGCTGCAGCAGCTGGAGCAGGTCCGGTCGCACGATTTTCTTCTGCTGGCGCTCTCTCATGTCGTCTGTCACCAAAGTGCTGACGAAGGACACCGCGCTGGGCTCCAGCACGCGATCCCTCAGCAGCTGCAAACAAGCAACACAAACTCACAGTCCGCCCACATGGAAAGTGACGGACAGCGCGATTGATTGATTGATTGATTGATTCATTCATTCATTCATTCACTCATTCATTCATTATTTCGATTTTCTAGGCGCGTCGATTGTTATTTTTTTAAAGTCGCTTTTCAGCTGCTTGCTCATATAGAGACCACTTTTAACTTTGAGGGAAACGGAGGGAGAACTGATTCTAATAACATACAGAAACATCTATGCCAGGGCGGAATTCGAACCCGCGACCCTTCAAGCCGAGACAGCTACGGTCCTTCGGACCGACCTCGGCCATCCAGGCCTGCGCTTTGGTCGTTGGTCCCGTGTTTAAACGTGTGGCGCGTGTTTTAACGCGGGGGTGGGGGCGATGTTCCCCCGCTGGAAGGTGAGGTCTGGCTCCGACCTAAACGTCTGCTTACTGGGTTTTCCTCATCCAGCTGTATTCTACCAGCGAGGCACCGCTACAAGAGCTCTTAACTACAGAATGGTCTCCCAATGAGTGGTAATGTAGTGCATGAAAACATAAGTGTGTGAAAGGAAGAAGAGGGATAGGAAAAGGAAGAGGAAGGAAAGATCGCGCGTGGCTTGTAGGGCATTTAAAAGGGGCGAACACGATCATGTTTTGCTAATACTCATGTAATGGGAAATTTCTTATTACCAGGTCACTCATGTGATATTTGTACCTGGTAGTTAAGCAGCTCTTCATGACCGGTGTTCGGGAGATACACAAAATCTCCCATACCGAACTCCAAAGACTAGTCCAGACGGCTTTATCAAATACTAGTGCACCAGAAGTTGTCTAACATCAGGCGCGATTGTCGTAAGTACAACGTCGTGTTATGAGTCTTCCTTCCACATCTTCATTAGCAAAAGGTGATCTTCAATCTCTCTACATGCCGTAGAAGTTAGTTACATTACTTTGAGACTTCTGGATAAGTTCTCTTTAAATATTATTCATTTCGTCACGATCCGATAGACCAATCCCAAGAAAGACATTGATTTCCTTTGTATAACACAACAGACCACTCCCATTTGTGTCGAGTATAATATAAAAGTTAGTATTTGTGTAAAGTAGATGCAGTCATGCAAATTATGAGACAGGCGAATTGGTTTAAAGAGAACCTATATTTCGATTGAAAATTTAAGTCCGTTAACACTTCGTCAGCAGTGACACTGTTATGCAATCGGCAGTTTGAACGTCACTATATTGGGTGAACCAGGATATGAAGATATCTTTTAATATCAACGTCACAACAGTAGAGCGTATTAACAATGAACTACTGTCCTCAACTAACGGCCAGCTGAGTGTAAGAAGTTTAGACAGCTATTTCTTGTTACGAAAATAAAATCTACCTTTTCTCGCAATATGTGATAAAAAGAACTAATTAAGGGTTTGAATTCTTAGCAAAAAAGAAAAGTTTAGGAACCCCGAAAACTATACAATATTCGAAACTCATGTTCCGTAGTGTAATAAGTAGAATTAATTTGTAATTGAATATTTAATAATTGTTTATATGTTGATGAACTCACAAGTAACTAACCCTTTCATACACCGGGCTAATCATTAACTTGTTTTTTTGATATCTCTCAGTTCATCGTAAAAAAGAAACAATCCTTCTTTAATTAATTTATTTGTTTGAGGTTACCAGTACTCAGTATTTGCCGATTAGAGGATCTTTTTTAGTGCGGCAGTTATATGGGTCTTCCCATACAACTCCAAACATCTACAAATTGCTCAACGAACCAACACTGTATGGTTGTGGTGAACATGTTAATAATCTTGGAAACCGTTAGTCGGCATTCAACGAACAGCGAGTAGCTGGGAACGTCTTATTATGTTCAAGACAATGTTCGTTTCCAGCGCCGCGGGGAATTTTTCTTGTGAATCGCCGTGGTGGATATAAGGAAAATGCCTCGTACCTTCACGAGCCACGGGGCGATGACCCAGCCTGCGAACAGCAGAGGCCGAAGGGGCCGCGCAATGGTGAGGAGCTTGCCTTGCGGTGGAACTGGTTTTCAGGCTCTAGCAGGGAGTCGCAGCGCAGACCGAAGGCAGCGGTCGCTATTACGTCTTTCGCCTGGCGACTGAACAGGTCTTTCATGTCCACTTCCAGAGATGCAGATTGTGACCATGTGAGGAAGCAATTTCTGAGTTTTTGTTGGGAATTAAAGATTAACCAAAATGTAAAACGGAAAATTTCTCGTTAAAAACAATGAATAAGAAAAACGTGTATACCTTTAATGAAAAAAATGGGAGAACAACTGTCAAACAAGATGAATGTTTACCTTCTGAGTGTGCATTAATTTTCCCACGCAGATTATTGGCCAACGGCTGGGTACATTCGACGATGAGCGGGAACATGGCGTTGATTTTGCTGCTCGTGAACGCTGGGCTGAGTGTTGTGCGCATTTCCCGCCAGGGCAGGAGTTAAAAGTAAGAAGGCTGAAAAAATATCAAAGTAAGCGTACATGAAATGCAGTGTTTTTTTCTCATTCGATTTTTTCAATCACATTTGTTGTTGTTGTTGTTGTTGTTGTTGTTGAAATGTCTCCTCGTTTAAAAATAGTGGGAATGCAAGGGATAACTAAATTTTTCCGTTTTCTTGTGTTTTTACTCAACACGTATTCTTTCTTTTTGATGAAAAGGCACGTTCATGATTTAAAGATATAAATTCTAGGAATTTAACATATCTACAAAGAAATGTCTGGCTTTAACAGACTATTAGTGGTGGAGGACGCATCCATATCTGGTACCCCACACTCGACGGCGGCAGAGCGTCCACCAGAGTCACCACGCCCCTTCACGCAGCATTCTTTCTCTCATTCATTCAGCAAGAGCAACAAGACTCTGACAGAGACATAGTTGCACTCATTTATTCAGTCGCGAAGCAGCAGCCAGTCTGCCAGCGGCGTTGCGTCCCTGCGCTCCCAAGACTTACTTGTTCGCATTCATTCCGTCATGAAGCGGCAGTAAGAAACCTTTTCAGCGTCATCGTGTCCGGCGCGCGGCACGCGTACTCTAATTCATTAATCATTCAACAACAGCAGCCAGCCTCTGCAATATGATGCACTTGCACTCATGCATCCAACAACTAGGTAACAACATCCAGTTCACCAATGACAGCCCTTGCACATGTCACACCTCCCCTCATTCATCCACTCAGCAACATCAGCCAGACCGATAGCTGCAGCTCGTCCTTGTAAACCCAACACTTGTTCGCAGACATTCACCGTCTTAGGTGGCTCAGGGCATCAATTGATGCCACTTCAGTCGACTTCGACATTACGACATTACGTACGTAAACAGCTGGATCCAGTTCAGCCACTGTCTGGAGGGCAATTCTATCAGCCTGCTTCTCTCATCTGTAGTTTTCGTGATTTCTCTGATAAGCGCCAGGTGAATACCAGAGCAGTTCCCTAACAAACGAGCCATGTACCGCGCGCGATCATTTCTTCCTCTTCCTTCTATTATTATCCCTTACTTGCATACCTTTCCACTCACCGGGCACATGTTCAGAGACCAGTCTTGGGGTTTAGAGCTTGCCCCGACTAGGGCGGTGCCCCGCTGGTGGGGGATCCCTGTTTGGGGAAAACATCACA